AGAGTGATGATCCACAACATCCAAGATACTTGGTACAACAACCTCCCATTTTTTGCTCCTGCTTTGAAGGATTCTGACGTTCTGAGAAACAGCCTCTAAGGTTCAAGCTTCAACAACTTCTGCCTTCCAAGCCTTCAAAGGCTCAAGAAACCCAAGTGGTTCTTCTCTTCTTCAATGTAGGCCGTTACGTTCTTCCTCTTGGCTTGTCTCCTGCTAGAGCAGCCATTGGCAGAATGTAAACATGACTCTGAGCGCGAAGGCAGCTGTAGGATTTTATCCTTCACCAGCCTCAGTGGTTGCTCCAAACTGGCTTTGAGTAACGTGCTGAAGCTGCCATCGGTAGCAGTAGGAGGGCTGGTGCTGTTGACTGAGGCATAACCTGAGCTGGCTTCCCCAGGAGAGGCTCGGACGATGGGAAACTCGCTCTCCTCGTTGGGATGGTCATAATCCTTCATGATGGGAAGGCTCTCGTCATCGCTGGATTCTTGGCAACAGCAAGGCTTTCTGAGGTCCTGGTGTGGTAGACTTCCCTCCGGAATTCCAATAGGAGCTGTAACTACACAGCGGGGAAATAGAAGAAAACTCTTAAAATAAGATGGTCAGCGTCAGACACAGAAACCAGGTCTACACGTGAAGGTCCAACGAAACTGATTTATTGCTATCCATGCCTATGCAAAGGAATCTTCTCAACTAACGGTTAGCCCCTGACTGAAGTAAGATAAGGGTCAATTGCAAAAGGTGGCCTTACTAGGAACTGCTTCCATCCTGCGATGAGATCTGTAATACCATCAAACATCCACATCTGCCTATCCCAGGTCCTATTATTATTATTATTATTATTATTATTATTATTACGTCTTCAAAGGAAAAAAAGAAAGTCCAGTTGCCTCGTGGAAAAGCGCCTTTGGCATGGCCTGTATCCAATCTGCATAAGGAAACTAAGATCCGGGCACAGAATAACAAGAACAATGGAAGTCTTGAAACTTGCATTTTCACAGTGGAGATAACAACAGAAGAAACAGGGGCCTTACCGTCTCCCTCCTTCTCGCCTTCACTTTCTTGATCTCCTTCATATCCCGAGCAAGCATCCAAGCTCCAGTCCAGAAAATTATCCAGAAGACTTTCTTCCTGAGTGGACAATTCAGCCGTGGGGGTGGTGACAAAGCTACCCCGGTCCTCCTGGATGCTGTCTTCCCGTCTCCTGTGGAGGGAACACCACCATGAACAACCGAGTCCAGAATGAGAAGGTCCTAAACCTCCAGAGTTCAAGGGCAGTCAAGGCTCGTGTGCTTATATGGGAGAAAAATCAAGATGGCCACCACAATCAGATCGCGCAAACGCATGCACAAAGGAGGTGGGGGGCTTGCATAGCGTGACTGCAGCTCCGTCTTGATTTTTTTTTTTAAATGTCCATCCCAGCCCATGACCTAGAAAATACCCTGATTTTCTTACAATCTAGGGGCTGTAGGTACTAATCCCACTGGAGGAGAACGAGTTCAAGACTATACCCCGGAGTCCTAGTGGACAATCACTTAAATATGAGCCAGCCGTGTGCTGTAGCTGCCAAAAAGGCCAACACAGTGCTAGGCTGCATTAACAGAGAGATAGAATCAAGATCATGTGAAGTGTTAATACCACTTTACAATGCCTTGGTAAGGCCACACTTGGAATACTGCATCCAGTTTTGGTCACCACGATGTAAAAAAGATGTTGAGACTCTAGAAAGAGTACAGAGAAGAGCAACAAAGATGATTAGGGGACTGGAGGCTAAAGCATATAAGGAACGGCTGCCGGAATTGGGTATGTTTAGTTTAATGAAGAGAAGGACGAGGGGGGGACATGATAGCAGTGTTCCAGTATCTCAGGGGCTGCCACAAAGAAGAGGGAGTCAAGCTATTCTCCAAGGCGCCTGAAGGCAGGACAGGAAACAAATAGATGGAAACTAATCAAGGAGAGAAGCAACCTAGAACTAAAGAGAAACTTCCTGACAGTTAGAACAATTAATCAGTGGAACAACCTGCCTCCAGAAGCGGTGAATGCTCCAACACTGGAAGTTTTTAAGAAGGATTGGACGGTCATTTGTCTGAAATGGTATAGGGTTTCCTGCCGGAACAGAGGGATGGACCAGATGACCTCCAAGGTCCCTTCCAACTTTATTATTAGTATTAATTAATAATAAAACACTATAAAAATACAATTGATCGGCAATTATCTTAATCAGCCTGAGCTGGAAAGAATTGCCCGTGCTTTTCCCCATCATAAGCCGCAGCGCAGTTACTGAAAAGGGAGACTGGGATGAATGAACAGCTGTCTGTTCACGTACAAAGAGTTTTTATGGTTTGTCCTGCGATAGAATTGAAGATGATTTCATTAGCGGGACTAGCTTATACAGAGGAAAACAGCTGGAGCCAAGTCAGCCAGATCTGAAACTGAAATGCAGGAATCGGAGAGACCTGGAAAGAATCTCTGCACTCTGTAAGCTTTGGGAAACTGCTAACGATCACTATAGACTCCGGGAAAGGGAAACCATTAGGTCATCTTCTAGACATTTCCCAACAGTATTTCTCCCCATTGGCCACACGATTAGGTTTTCCCCAAAGGTGAGCAAATCTTGAATTACAGCAAAAACGCTTGTGAGAGCAAAACGAAACAAAAGTCCAAGGAGAAACCTAGAAGTAGAACTCTTAGAACCCAGTTATTATCCAGAGATGGAAATCAAGGTTCTACTGGTCTTGGGTCTACAAAGTCAAGAAATGTTGCAAACGCTACTTTCTTCCTTCTACGAAAAGCCTGAAGATGTCAACAAATGCTCAACCCATTGGCTTCTGCTGTCTTCAAGCCATTCTGTATTTTTTTTTTTAAGCAACAGAACTTGTGTTTTTTTCTACAATCCAACCTTTCTTCTCCTGGAGACCTTATAGGACCACCTGCTTGGCCCAAAGCAGCTGTTCCTGCTTGGAGCTGGAGACCCCAATTCCGCTGTCCATGCAGTGCCCACCTCCTGCCAATCCGATCGGAACCCAAGGACTGAACTTGCCTTTTAGAACGTTTTCCAGAAGGGGAAGTGAGGAAGGTCTCCACTGCATTCACGTACGAAGATCCGGGCTCCGGGTCTTCCTGTTTCACTCCTAGCAGGGAGCAGAGCTGGCTGTAGCTCATCACCTAGAGCAACAGGTCAACTGAGGTGGGATGCGGCATCAAAGCTGCCCCTTGCTACCAAATACTGGGTCCCTTTTTCTACCTTCAACCCAAAGAAACACTTCTTGCTTCTTCAACTGCTTAGTTACAGTCAGGTGCGAAGAATCAGGACCACACATTAAGCTGCAGTTCAGATTTATTGCTCAAGCTTATTGCTCAAATAACTAAAGTTCAACACTAAATTGGCACTGGATAAGGGTCAACGGAATTCAGAAGGAGTTGGACCGATTGTGGCTATGTAACGACTCTAAGCTGATGACACGCTTAACTCCACCCCCAGCTCTGCCGGCTCTTCTCCTACAGTTACCAGATACAGGTACAGTCTTTGCTTAGTGATCACAACTGTGATCGGCAACTCTGCCTTATCCTGCGACTCTGACGGACTTACATCCTCACTCCCAATATGGTTGTTAAGCAAATCGCTAGCATTCGCTAACCAGATGACCTCCAAGGTCCCTTCCAACTTTATTATTATTATTATAACATCCCATCGCTATGGCTTGCAATTTCACCGCTGACTTCTCCATTGGTTCTGCTTGTTAGAAGCCGGCTGTGAAGTACACAAGTGGTGCTGCCTTGACCATAGGACCCTGCGATGGTGGTCAATGCGAGGATCCATTGCAAAGGTGTTTTTAAGCACCGTTGTAACTTTGAATGGTTGCTAAACGAGGCAGTCAGTAAGGGAGGTCTATCTGTAATTCCCCCCCTCCCGGAATTCTCTAGTTAGCCTACCTCTTCCTTTCCAATTTCTTCGTAGCGCTTATCCTCAAATCGTTGCTTCACAGCAGTCAGGGACACCTGTCTATAATCTTTGGGCACATCTTCATGGAAGCTGGGAAGAGAAAAATCGAGAACTATCTCCATGAACTAGATGACCTCCAAGGTCTCTTCCAACTTTTTTATTATTATTATTATTATTATTATTATTATTATTATTATTATTATTATTATTATTATTATTATTATTATTATTATTATTATTAAATGTCTGCATGAATACAACCTAGCTCAGAGAGCACCAGGAACCTCACAGTTCTCCTCCCCTTCTCCACAACCCCTCTCCTTCTAACCCTGATGATGTTACCTAGTTGGGTCTGCAAGAAAACCACCAAGCTCAGAGACCACCAAGGACCCCTCATTTCAACCCTGAACTACAAATCCTTTATTGGGATCAAGCTCTTGCCTGATTTAGAGAGCAGCCACGGTTATTTTTCAAATTTTAAATATGAATAGAAAATATTATTTTCTACATTTAATTTTAATTAAGAAACAATGTAAATAATGCTGAATCAAGTTTAGCTGTCAGTTCTGCCCTAGCTTGGTCTCTTAGGAAAGAAAGACTCTCGACTCCACCATGTGTAGCGAAGAGTATATATTTTTACTAAAAGCCAAGTGGTTATAGTATAGAGAAACCCACCCATTCCTGAAGTTCCAGTTTGTGAAATCCCCTCCCTGCCCCAAGGTTTTACCACTTCTGGTGGAGGCTCAGCACACAGGGAACCAGCTCTTCAAGAGAAAATCCTGTATTTTCCGTTAGCTGGCTAGTCCACGGGCGAGCTGGAGACAGCACAAAGGAGAAAAACAAACATCAGTGTTGTTGCTTTTTAACCCTTCTGCACAGCTTAGCTTAAATTTATCCTGACTCGGGAATACAGGTAGTCCTCGACCTGCCACCACAATTAAGTCCCAAAATTTCTGTTGCTAAGCCAGACAGTTGTTAAGTGAGTCGTGCCCCATGTTACGACCTTGAGCTGTGGTGGCGCAGTGGTTAGAATGCAGTACTGCAGGCTACTTCTGCTGACTGCCGGCTGCCAGCAGTTTGATCCCGACTGGCTCGAGATGAACTCAACCTTCCATCCTTCTGAGGTGGGTAAAATGGGGACCCAGATTGTTGGGGACAAATATGCCGACTCCGTAAACCGCTTAGAGGGGGCTGTGAAACACTGTGAAGCGGTATATAAGTCTATTGCTATTGCTATCTAAGCCGTGGTGGTGCAGTGTTAGAATACAGGCTGGCTCTGCCCACAGCGAGGTGTTCGATCCTGACTGGCTCAAGGTTGACTCAGACCCTCCTTCTGAGGTCAGTAAAATGAGGACCCAGATTGTTGGGGGCAAATATGCTGACTCTGTAAAAATTGCCCCCATGTTCTAAAGTGCACTGAGTCTTCTTTCTCTTTTCTCTTTCATGTCAATCTGTCCATTTCTGCACAGTCTAAAATTTTCTTAATTAGTTCTTCTTCCGTTGGTCAGTTTTCATTTTTTCAATATTGGGCAAATACTATCCTTACTGCAGTTCATACATGTCAAATTAAGTGTGTACCATCTTTCTCATAGTTCCCTCCTATTATGCCTAACAGACACCATTCTGGCTTAAAATCTATATGGCCAAACATATGAATTTGGACCATGTGGCCACTGGGAAGCTGCAACGGTCGTAGTTGTGAACAAACGGCCGCAAGTCACTTTTCAGTGCCGTTGTAACTATGAACTATGAGCTGGAATTGGGTATGTCTAGTTTAACGAAGAGAAAGACGAGGGGGGACATGATGGCAGTCTTCCAATATCTCAGGGGCTGCCCCAAAGAAGAGGGAGTCAAGCTATTCTCCAAAGCGCCTGAAGGCAGGACAAGAAGCAATGGATGGACACTAACCAAGGAGAGAAGCAACCTAGAACTAAGGAGAAATTTCCTGACAGTCAGAACAATTAACCAGTGGAACAACCTGCCTCCAGAAATGGTGAATGCTCCAACACTGGAAGTTTTTAAGAAGAGATTGGACAGCCATTTGTTTGAAATGGTGTAGGGTTCCTGCCTGAGCAGGGGGTTGGACCAGATGACCTCCAAGGTCCCTTCCAACTTTATTATTATTATTATTATTATTATTATTATTATTATTATTATTATTATTATTATTATTATTATTATTATTATTAACGGATGTTAAACAAACAGTCGTAAATCGAGGAGCACCTATACAGATCTTCTTCCCATCTACCAAGGCCATTCTCCATACCACTTCATTAAGCCAAGCTTCACAATTGCGATGGATTCAACAGATCATGGTAAACAAAGAACAGCTGGGCTTTTGTTCAGACCAGACTTACCTTGTCTGTGCAGGACTTTTGCTAGTAGCAGAGCTGCTGCAGACAAGCGGGCAGGGGAGTAGACGCAAAGACCCGTGTTCAGGAGGGAGAGTTCACAGATGAAGCTGTACAGGGAGGCAGTCCTTCTTTCCAGCGAGACGACGTTCAGCAGGACTTCTTTATAATCAATAATGGTAGGAATCTTTTTTTAAAAAGGGGAAAACAAGAAATGCTAAGCCACCCACGTTCATAACCTGGGCACGATGTAAGAATAGAAAGCCTCCAGAAGCTTTCTGGAGCTGTGGCTGTTATATGAATTCATTTTGAATGTTTTAAATATTTGGTTTAAAGACTTCCGATCTCTTCCGGCTTCTTAACATTTCTAACCCACTGTTCTGCACTAGGTTTCAAAGCCTGCGAAAGTCAAAAGACGTAACGCCAGTTCCAGAAACCCTAGAGTGAAAAGTATTTGTGGGTTTTTTTTTCTGGGTTACTTGGTTTTATAAATTCGAGGGAGGGAGGGAGGGAGGAAAAAGGAAGGAAGGAAGGAAAGAAGGAAGGAAGGAAGGAGGGAGGAAGAAGGAAGGAAGGAAGGAAGGAAGGAAGAAGGCAGGCAGGAAGGCCTGTTTTGCTATTGCAAGAAGGAAGGAAGGAAGGAAGGAAGGAAGGAAGGAAGGAAGGAAGGAAGGAATCAACTGACTATTCCCAATTTTACAAATCTGTCCTAAGTCCTATACCTGTAGCTGGAACCTGTAAAATATAGGAAACAGCTACAGGATAACAGGTAAGCTGGATGTCAGCAGGATTAAAATTCTGGCTAACCACAAAAATTCCCACAAAAGTCTGCGAGAGAAAAATCAGTAGGGTTCCCCAGCAGGGGATCGTAAGAGAGCTACAGCATACACGAAATATAGATTTGCTCTACAATGCCAGGGAAGGGGAAACAAAATACTGACACACAAGAAGACCTGGTTCCCCAGAAGCGGTCCATCTGAGCTGCAGCTTATACGGAGTCCCAAGAGCAACGAAACTGGTTTTGCTGGACCAGAACAAACTAGGCCCATCCGTCTCCATCGAGCAGCTGATGCCCGAAGCCACGTTCGTCACCTCCGCACAACTGTACCTTTATCCTGCCTTCCAGGGCAGAAATGATCTCCCCCATCATCCTCACCAGATCTTCGTACTTGTACGTGTTGTCGGTCAACCAAACCGCTTCGCGAATCGTCAGAATCTCTTTGCTCACAAAGCTGAAACCAGACAAGCAGTGTGCGTCAAAGACCAACCGCGGGAGAAGTAATGGAGGCCTCACTGACCCAATTCTCACTGGGGGGGGGGGAAACCAACCCACCCGTAAGCAGCGAAGTCACTAATGCTTCATCTGATTTCTAAGGGCAGAAGCGGAGTAACTCAAAACGAATCTCAGCAAAAGCGAATTCGGAAGCACGTCGCTCGACAGGGTCCCTGAGCACTTGTCTGAGATGGTATAGGTTCTCCTGCTTGAGCAGGGGGCCAGACTAGATGACCTCCAAGGTCCCTTCCAGCTTCTATTCTATTCTAAAATGCATGGGCTCTACTGCCATAGCATTCAGAAAAACGTTGCAATCCCCATTCAACAAAAATTACTACGACTGTAGGAATTTAGTTTTGGAGCTAATATGTTTAAATAAGAGAAATTTGGGGGCCCTGAAATAGTTAAATAATTAGGTTAGCTTAAATTCAAATATTTGGAAAAATTAATAAAGTTTAAAACAGGGTCTTTGGGATAGATAAGGAGCTTTCGTAAAAGATTATTGACTAATGAAATTTACATCTGGCAATATACTTAATGAAAATCTGTGTTGGAAATGTTCTAATGAGATTTCAATAATTTAAACAGATAGAGAGCATTGGTTTTGATCTAAGCATTTAATTTCTATATAGCGATATATTAATGAATGAATTGGGGGCTATAGGATTGTACTAATTTGATTATTATATTGATATTGAGCTGTTGAAACTTTTTATTGACTAAGGAAATTGATACTTAGATATATTAATGAATGAATTTATTTGAATTTGATTGATTATAATATTCTACATCGATAGAGAGGGAGGTTTGAAGAAACATTGTGTGAATTGTATACATATAATGCTATTGTTCTCTTTTTTGTAATTGACCACCGTATCTCCACGCTGGTTCTTAAGCTTCTGTTGGTGTAAAATGGAAAATAAAAATAAAAATTGTTTATTAAAAAAAAAAAAATTACTACTACTTTCAGAGCAAGCCGCTATCAGCACCGCCAAGAGCTAGATGGCTTACCGGGTACAAATAACCATGCACGCGATTCCTAAAAGCTGCAGCTGAGCCCGGGGCACGGGTCTTAGTTTCAAGTACCGATCCACACAGCCAATGGTCATGTGAAGGCAAAGGCTGGAAAAATCTTTCATGGTGGCGACTTCCACCAGCCAATCCACCAAAATGTATCTAAAATAAGGAAGGAGAGCAAAGCAGTTAGACTAGACATGTCAAACACAAGACGGCTCGCGAAGTGGTTTCATGTGGCCCGCGAAGCCATCCTGGAAACAGTGAGGGAACGGCCCCCCGCTGCCTTGGCCCCGGCCCAGGCTAGCCGGGAGCCAATGTACAATTTTGTGGTGGCCATCTATGCTGAAATGCATTCAGTCTTAGCTCCACAAGGCCGTCTGGAAACAACGAGGAACCAGGAGAACCTTGAGCAGCAGCCTTGAGGAAGTGGGGCTGGGTTTGGTGCCGCGGGTGCTCGAGGGCCAGGCTGGGCATTTGACCTCTGTTGCCCAGGGCTCTGGGCAGCCCGCACCACCATCCAACCCCGACCCCGCATGGCCTGAGAGCAACAGTGAGGCTCCTCCAGTGGACCATGCCTTGGCACTTGCCCCGGTCCCACCCCCTTCTGCCAGAGACCCTCAGATCCGTCCCACTCCTGCCCAGGACCCCACAGGCACCCTTGACGCCAACGATGTAGAGTTGGCCATGCCCACCCAGTAGGCCACACCCACTCCATCCGCACCCACCCTGGCCATACCCACCCGGCCCCCTGGGGCAACCGCAATGCTGATGCGGCCCTCAATGAAATTGAGTTTGACACCCCTGAGTTAGACATTCATCTTTGCTATAGGCTGGGAAGCAGTTATCCCGTTGTGCTTCTTTCGTCAGTCAATTTCCCCTTTTTAAAAAAATAAATATTAAGATTTCTTCGTAAGTAAAAAAAAAAAACCAGAATGAAAAAAGAAAAAGAAAGGATGACTGAAGAAACTAAAATTAATGACTTGTCACCTTCAAGGAATACATCATCGTGGGTTGCTAAACAAACGGTTGTAAATCAAGGATTCCCTGTATGGCACCTCGCGCCGAATGATTTTTAAAAAGCCACGTTAACTTTTATTGTGTCATAAAAACCAAAATCGTTTTCCTAAAGAAATCGGTTTTAGCATATCCAGACTGATACTTGAAGCATTTTCACCATCTAGCGAGAGAGTCCAAGTTTTTAGCATGGCGAGTGACAACGTATGTTTAAGGATGCTAAGGGATCCATTTTCAACCCTAAGTAGGACCCCCGCCCCATATTTAGCCTAATGTTTTTTAAAACTGGCAGAAACCGGGTGGTTTCTAGATTTTGTGGGATCTCAACCTTTTAAAATCTGAGCTTCACACTTTTTCAGAAGCAACCTGAAACCTACAAGCTCTTAATAAATAGCGTTTTCCTGCCCCACCAACTAGAGATTAAAATTCCAAAAGTGGGGGGGAACCCCCTCCGTTTTGTAAAGTGGTTTTATTCCTGTTGATCCAGCTAATTAAATTGCCCAGAGTCACTCGAGGGTGAGATGGGAGGCATATACACTTAATAATAATAATAATCTTCTTATATATAAATAAAAATGTAAATGTTTGTTTGTTCAAAATCTTAAATCTCCGAACGTTCTTCACCGATTGCTTTGAAATTTTGACACAACATTGCATTTGAATACGCGCGTGTTTTTATATACCTATATTATATAGATGTCACACCTGTGACAGGTAAAAACATGCTTTTTTTGAAAAACAGCACCATCTGTTGGACGTAAAAGCAAGACACACTATGATTTTACGATTCCATTTCAATGTTTCCGATTTATTTATTTATTTATTTATTTATTTAATTGCATTTATATCCCGCCCTTCTCCTTTCGGACTCAGGGCGGCTAACAATCAATTAAAATACAAAAAATACAAAACCCCTGTTAAAATTAATTAAAAAGAAATATTTAACTGTGATCTAATTAAAAGTAATTAAAACCCCTTTAAAATCCCTTAGGCCAGTCCCGC